TTTGCTAAGGCTCTCCAGTCATAGCTATGTGCATACCTACAATCTGGAATTGGGACTTAAGAAAAAAAAAATCAGGGTTAGTGGAATCCATCTGGAAAAAAAAAAAACTGGGCCAGGAAGTTGATGCTTCTAATATTTGGGCACTGGTTTAGTAGGGAGGAAACTTTTTTTTTTTCAATTGCCCATTTCTGTTGTGCTGATGCACAATGATGGGGGGATGACTTTTCAGGTGCATTTCAAAGCCTGAAGTAGCAAGAAAGGAAGAGGAAAACAATGCTTGAAATGCCCCCCAAAAGTGTAGAAATGATTGCTGATTACTTCATTATTGTCACTAAGGAGAAGCAGAGACACGGCAGGCATTAGGAAAAACAAAGTGGTTAGAAAAATTGGCATGTTCGTTATTCTGCTTTATGTCTGAGTTTTCTTCAAAGCTGGGGCCAACCCATGTTATATAGCCCTGTCTCCTCCCATCTTCCTGCCTGCACTCATTCTGATTCTGCTGTCCTCACACAAGCAGGGTCCCCATTACAAACAATGAGCTTCTTTTGCATCCTTATTGAAGGACTGAGGCCTATTGCATGCACATTTTTAGATTCCAGACTTTTAAAATTCAACCCCAATGCAGCAGTTTACAGGAATGGCATTTTAAAATTCATACTTGATGTTCACATTCACACTCAAATTTGCCAGAGCATAATCATGTACTCAAAGACAACAGGAAAAATTTACTCTTTCCAAAGGTAATTAACCATAAAAATTCAAATAGCATACACCCAAGCAAAGGCTTTTACTGCCAAAAAAATAAAACCACTCAGCACTCACAAAATATTTGACATCTTCAAGGTCCTTTATTAATTGAATTGAATAAGAAATGAATGTGTGTATTTGAAAACTGAGAAAACAATAGTTCCTGGAACACACAGAGTCATTTGGTCAGCAAAACTCCTGTTTGCCATTTACTTGTGGCTTGTTGCTGGTATGGGATTGTATGTTAATAAATAGCCAGCTAATTGGAAATTATCCACATTATGGTTCAAAGTGCATGATACATTGGATTAAATAAAAAACTTTAAAAAATAATTTTTGTTGTTAGCTTTTGGTTCTATACATTACCCAGATTTCCCTTTTTAATTTCTTCCCTTTCCTGTTCCTACAGTCCTATCCCTTATAAGAAAGAATTTGTAAAGGGAGAGAAAAAGAGGAAGAAGATAAAAAAATTCATTTAAATATATGAATGAATCAAAAAAAAGTCTGATGTCAAATGCAGTATTTCATACCTGTGAACCCCCAACCTCTACAGAGGTGTAGTGGAAGGCCTGTTCTCATCTTTGGGGCCAATTTTTTTCTTTATAATTTAATAACATTCAGTTTTGATTCTTTTGTGGTGGTGGTTCTTTTCATTTACATTGTTGTTGTCAGTGTGTGTATATTGTTTTCCTGTCTCTGCTTTAAGTAAAGGCCTCTTTTAGCCTGTTTTTTGGAGCAGACATTTTTCACCAGGACAGACATCTATCATTTCCACAAATCCCTGCTCCACCCTTCACTGTATCGTGGAGGTGACTCTGGACTTCTGAAGGCAGTATCAATGAAGTACAGACTGGAAAAGCTCTGAGTAGGGTCATACAGACAGAGAGAATAGGGTACAGCCTACTCTCTCAGTACCACCCAGCCTAGCTATGTATGGAGAGACTCATCACCAGAAAGCTGACTAGTAGAGATGGATTCTTGGGCCATAGTGACCCACCAAACAGATAAAAACAGTCATTCATAAATCTCAGGTCAGAATGTTATTAAAGCAACAGAGTCTTGTTTTTCTCAAAAAGACAAGGGAAGAAACAGCTTACAGAGAATTTGAAAACAGAAATGAATTTTCTAACACAAGGGTTAAGGGAAACCATCATTTGAGAGTAACTTGCCTTCATGGTTCTGATTCTTTCCCAGAATGTCACTGTCAATACCTGCTGCCTGACAAGCTTCTTTAACATCAGAGAACATCTGTACATTTATGCTTTTCCCTAGCTGCTATGATTTCATTTCCAGGCCATCATTTGTGTCTGGTGTTGAGTGAGGAATCCAGAATTTCTAGACAGAGGATAAGGGAAGTTTGAGGATAAAAGGACTATAATATATCTTTCTTCTCTCCTGACCTAAAAATCGATCTTCCCTGTTAGCTAAATAGAAATGGCTACTATTGCTGGAGTCATAAAAGAATTGTTAGACTCTGCAGGAACATCTGGAATCCATGTTAAGAGTTCTGCTGGTAGTCCCCACCACAATGAAAAAGCCACATGGCAAAAATGCTTCCCAATTTCAAGGGATATAGAGGGAAGGGGTATGTCTCTCTTCCACACTTTGGAAATGTAGTTGCTGAAAACTGGCAAATCAAGATGAATAAGGAACACCTCAATTGGTTCAGGATAATGAATATTGGCTTTGATCACTGACTAATGCATTCAAACTTCTTTAAGTTAAAAAAAAAGACAGAACATATGGTGCTAGTTATTAGTACATTCATGCTTTGTATATTCAGTAAGATACTGCCACTCCCAGGGTGACTTACTAGATTTTAAAAATTGTACTTTAATTTTTCAGCAAGACATACATTATGCAGTCAATATATTTCCTTACTTTTATTGCCACTATCTCATAGTAATAGCACCATTTGATGCCAGGTGGGCAGAATCTAAAATGTGAAATATATGTTGCCAGAAATGAATTCCTCAAGTTAGGAAGTTTATCTACATTGACAAACTGACTTGCTTTAAAAAATAACATATTAAACAAGAACAAAGAAATATGAGGGACCTTTTTCATAATTCACCTGAATAGAATGTATCTGTGACCAAGGCTAAGGTGAGAGGTATGAACCATGAGGAAGAGCAGGTCAGAATGTGGAGCCAGGAACACTGATTTCCCATGGATGGGGGAAAGTAATTTCTTCTTTGTGACATGCTTTGGTTGCTCCAGGATGTAAAATCAGGATCACTCCTACCTTTATTTCAAGGAAGCTGCCAATTACTCCTTGAGGATAACAGTGCTATTGAAATACCAAGTACTATTATCACTGTCACCATTACATGAGCTAAGCTGGTTCAAGTCCAGCAGGGCGGCTGTCCTGGAAGATGACTGGCATGACCCAGTTAACTGATGAGGACAATAATCTTAGTCTTTATACAGTGACAAATAAAAAGAAAGAAATTCACTAAGCCACAAGGGATTCCTAGCTACAGAATCAAGAAAATAAAAAAAAAACCTTCAGGACAGGGTTCTTTATAGTATGTATACCCAACAATTAAATTATAAATTGAAAAGTAAAAAAAATGCAATCAGTCAGATGATTGTTTTGTATATAAGATGCCAAAGAATTGGTTTGACCAATCTTTTTTTTTTTAATTGAGTGATTAAAAAAGAAACTGAAATAACAGCATGAGTCAATTATTTCTGTGTCATGTTGACACAGAGGTACAAATTCCTATGAAACTAAAAAGGTGTGTAACATTTTTTGGAACTTGAATAGTACTCAGCATTGTGCCCTGAACCTTGAAGACTCTCAATAAAATTTTTATTGATGACCACAATGATGGAATCATGGTAGAAAAATTCTTTAGCCAGAACTGCTCCTAAACTTTCCTAAAATAATGCTAGCTCACATTTATCCAGTATTTTTAGGGTTTACAAAGCACTTTGCTCACAACAACCCTGGGGTATTGTACTGCAAATATTATCTGCCTTTTGCAGATGAGGAAACTGAGGCTTATAGAGATTAAATGACTACTTGCCTGGAGTTATAAAGCTGGTAAGTATCAAAGCCAAGTCTCAAACCCAGAATGTCTGCCTCTAAGACCAGTGCCTTTTCCACAATACCAAGATAACTCCTAAGGATTTAAAGCCTCTTTTTAACTGCTAACCGATCTCTGGGAAAGGAGTTTCCAGAACCAACAATCTTGACCGCCAGGGAACACTTCTTTACATGTAGCTTAAATTCCTTCTGCTACAATTTACGCACATTCTCTCTTGGATGGTTTGTTTGCTTTCTGTGTTTTGGTTTCAAGAAATATTTTACTGGTTTTGTGAGTTGTTTGACTAAGTACTCTGATGCTTGAGGGAGTTCCAATTTTAATCTAAACTGTGTGCTCATCATGTCCCTTCTTTAGCTGCCAGACTAGTCTTTTTGGGAATCTGGCCCAGGCTCAGTCTGAACATGGATCTTCAAAGAACATAGCCTTAGAGTGTAAGCTACTGTGAATGAGGGGTCACATCTTTTTGAAATGAACTGCCTGCAGCCTAACTCATTTTGGACCCCTGCATAAATAGTGAAGGATCATCTTGATACTTTAGTTAGAAAGCTATTTGGAGACAAGGCTTTTTGTCTGTTCAGTATTCTATAAAATGCTGGAGTGCCAACAGTGCCTAAAACTAGTAGGAATTCCACGTGTATTACACAAAGCTACAGTTCCTTCTGACTATATGCTCTGTGAATATTCCATAAACACTTGTTGATTTATTGACTCTCAGTACCCCAACAACATTATTTCTCTTCCTCTGCCTCTCTCCCCCCCTCTCCCTCTCTCCCTCTCTCTCTCTTTTTTACTTCTTCCCCCTCCCTCCATCCTCCCTTTTTATCAATGTTATTTAAGTACCAGACGACATTTACATGGTGGGAGACGAACACAGTAAAAACTTATCCCTGGGGCCCTGGCAAAGCAAAATCCATCCAAATACTATGTATTCTTCTTAAAAGAGACGGGTGGGTAGCAAAAAGGTATTCTTATTTTTTCTATAGTCTCAGGAATTTTGACACTGTAACTGTAAACTTAAAAAAGCTTGTCACTGATGCCCTATCACCAGGCAAATGTGAAAGTCTCATTAGAGAGGGGATGTTTTAATTCAAGAGAAGCAGAAACT